AAGCAGTTTCGTCAGATCTTCATCTAAATGCTGTTCATTTCAACACATAAATCACCCTACTTGACTCCCTTAATTCTCTATAGGAGTCATGAGCCTGGGGCGCTACATTAGCTTCAAACTTCAATTTCTCACGCAACAAGTAGGTAGAACACCTTAGCTCTGCTAATGAGGCAAGTTGACAGAGTGTGTACTAAGCAGTAAACATCAGTGTTATTTCAGAGATGTTGAATTATATCATTACTGTCAGAATCTCCTAACTGTTAACCTTTCAGGAGAAGGAAAAACGTTCTTAACAATAGACGTTAATGCAAACTGAATTTTTTCCAAGTCATTTTGGACCATTTGTATTGGTCCATTCATTGTCTAATTTTTATACAATGTAAAAAACAAAAAAAACAACTAAAAAGGTGATGGTTTGTCCTGCCAGCAATTATGTGTTCTGTACATTCGAAGCAAATTATTCCTAATATCAGTTCCAGGTACTCATTCTTATGAGTGTGATGAGTAATTGGTGGCAACAGTGAGTCTTTTTATGAAGAGGTCAAGACAAGACTGCACATGTGAACAAAGCCTGAAAGGCTTGCAAGTATGTCCATTTCAAAACAGCAAAGCGCCCAATTTACAGACTGATGTCTTAAGATTATCCACACATAATGATTGCTTTCCACAAAGCCCTCTTTTCCTAGATCACAAAATATTTCCAATTTTAAGAGGGCTGGCAAATGTGTCCCACTTTGTCTTCAAGACTGAATAGAGCTTAATATATAAAATCTTGCAAGTTCAAATGAAGAAACCAGTGAAGGTTGTTGTGATTAACAGAAATGTATGTAATTTCTCATTCATGATTGCCAGAAAATTGTATGAAGTGAGCAACACTGCAGAACGGAAGCACCAATGAAGCCAAAATACGAGGCTCTTTTACTGAAAACGTTTATTGGATGTATTTTTATATTACTTTTTTGTTGTTGTTGTCATGTCTGTGATTGTGTTACAAATGAAGAAAAACAAACAGATTAAAAATCATTAGGCAAAGTATAATCCTGGCTTTTCTATTTTGTCTGGGTGGAGTGTGGTTTTGTGGAGTGCTTCCAAAGAAACTGTCAGTAATGGCAGGTGGGGCCATTTGATTGACACTTCTGGGTTCTTTTCACGTACTCTTTCACACCTCAGTAGGAATTCTAAAAAGATCTGCATTCCAGACAAGTGAAGAGCGGATTTACAGCATTGTCACTGTTAACTGACAAAATGTTTATTGTGATCTATATTTCCAGTGTTGCTGGTATCTCTATAGTCATTTCTGACCCCAAACAAAGTGGTTAAAAACTTTTAAAGTCCATCAGTGTTCCAATTTTACCTTCTATTTTCATTTTTTGTAAAGTAATTGATTCCCCATATATATTTTTGCAAAAGTCCAAGGCCACCCATTTGTTTATTGAATTGTCAGTAAAAATGGCTGCTAATTTCAAGTTATTCAAGAAAGCAGAAAACATACACTGATCAGGCATAACATTATGACCACCTCCTTGTTTCTACACTCATTGTCCATTTTATCAGCTCCACTTACTATATAGGTGCACTTTGTAGTTCTACAGTTACAGACTGTAGTCCATCTGTTTCTCTGCATACTTTGTTAGCCCCCTTTAACCCTGTTCTTCAGTGGTCAGGACCCCCATGGACCCTCACAGAACAGGTACTATTTGGGTGGTGGATCATTCTCAGCACTGCAGTGACACTGATGTGGTGGTGGTGTGTTAGTGTGTGTTGTGCTGGTCTGAGTGGATCAGACACAGCAGTGCTGCTGGAGTATCTGTCCAATCTATTAATTTGTCTATTAATGCATTAATTTGCCTACTCTTTACTTTTGTGAACCCTAGTGATATTTTAACTCTTCCAACCTTGCAATCTTAAAACCAACCTGTTACAACTGTCCTCCCAATAAAACATAGAAAATGGGATTTTGTAGACCAAAATAGAAAACAAAAGATGAGCAGTACTTAAAGTTTGACCAAGCAGCTACATCACTAGTAGCTAAGATCACTATGTGCAATGCCAAGCATTGGCTGAAGTGGTGTAAAGCGCATAGCCACTGGACTCTGGAGCAGTGGAAATGTTCTCAATGAAGCTGGTTTTGCTGGAAGCCAGGAGAACGTGACCTAGTGTAATGCATAGTGCTAACAGTAAAGTTTGGTGGAGGAGGGATAATGGGCTGGGGCTGTTTTTCAGGGTTTGGAAAAGACCTCTTAGTACTTAGAAAAGAACATGGACAAGAATCCAGACATCAATGTCATTAAATGTGCTTGGGATTATTGGAATTCAACCAACTTCTAAGAATGAACTTTAAAGATGTGTAAAAATATCCCTGTAGATTTCAAAGCTATAGATCTGCCTGGATGTGTAGTTGTCGAATAACTGATAGCAAGAAAAGAAAATAGATAGGAAAGAAGAAAATTGGCACTAAACCAAAGAAAACATGTCCAAGATTGGAGTAAGGTTGGAGGTTTTATGGACTGATTAGTTTAAATGTATGACTGGGATTACTTGGATTGTGAGAAGTAGAAAGTGCAACCATTGTTAAGTGCCCTGTTCGAGTGGGATTAGTATTACCTGGGAACGTGCTGTAATTTGAGTGATTAGAGACAAGCTTTATTTTAATCCAGTATGAATCTGCCATGTCTGTAGTTCTTACAAGTCTGCTAACTAATGATTCCAGAGTGAATTACCTCCTAAAATTTGCCAAACTCAGAGCTGCTCAGTAATAGCAGTCCTGCTCAAATCAACATCTCAGTTATGTAATAACAAAACCAGGTAACAGAAAACAGACAAGGCTGAAGTTGGCTTCCTATCCATATTTCTAAGATAAGGCTAACAGCTACAACGGATTTCAGTTTGATCCAATTAATTCTCAAGTTCATGACATGAATACTGAAATCCGCAATGCTTTTGGTGATGGTCAAATTACAAAAAGAAGGAAAATGTGAAAGTAACTTGAAAGTATCTCACTTGCTAGACTATTTGCTGTTTAGCTGCACAACATGTTATGGATGCCCCACGTAATGTTGATGTAAGCAACCCAACAATGATGTTTCTATCCAGGCAATCTGGGGTAATTTGGGGAAATTACAGAGATCCTTTATCCCATATGAATTGGCCAGTCAAATCACGGAAAAAGTACATTACTTGACCTCTTCTGGTAAAACTAATCCAACTCAAATAGGGCCTAAGACTGAACTTTGGAGGTACGGAACAATATCCCTGCAGATTTCTTTAAACAAAACTGAAAGGAAATCTCATAAAAAGAAGAGAAGCTGTGATAAAACCAAAAAGTGGACACAGTAAATACTGAACTTTTTGATGTTATAATTCATTGTTGAGGCTTCTATGTAGTTTTCTGCTAAATATGTTTATGCTTATTTTCCTAATGCTAACATGTTCTTAACGGACATTTTGACTGAAACTTAAATGAACGAAAGAGTGGCCTCTGATTTTTGCATAGTGCTTTAAATAAATAAATAAATAAATAAATAAATATCAAACGCTGGAAATCTTTAAATAAATGTACAATAAGACACTGCACAGGCTTTTGGGTTATAACATATAAAAGCAGAACATGTTATAGCACAAAACACAAAAAGAGGTTCCCCAAACTAAAGACCAGTGGAAAACTTTATATGGCTCCAGACACACATCTTTACATTTAAGAGAATGTATCTGTAAGTCATGAATTAAATTTGTAAATTTTTGAATTGTCATTAGCAAAATAGACTGGAGTTTAAACAGTAGAACGAAGTTCCCACTTTGTTTTACTGTCAATGTAATGCAATTACTTTAGCTATTTGATATAATAACTAACTATATAGTTATTATGACTCTAAATATAATAACTATTAACTATAAAAAGAAGTAAAATTCTTACTTTTACTCTTTTATTGTTGTACATCACTACCTTCACAATTCTATTACTCAGCGCATGGATAAAATGTTACTTCACCACAATTCATGTCAAAGTAAGTAAATTAAAGACAGCAGTTGTCTGTTGTGTTAGTAACAGACTGGCTGACATATTTCAATCATGTAAACTCAAAACATTATTTTTTCAGTGCATTTAGATTAAAAGAGTCACAGCTATTGATTTACAGAGCATCAAATAAAGATCCCTTTAAGTTCTTATAGTTTTAAGATGCTAAAACACACAAAGTACTGAATGATATCTGGTACAATTGAAATGACAATTGCTGTCATATATAAATATGCATGGTCAGATTTAGAAGAAAATAGCATTGCAATTTTATTTTGGTTCTCAGAGACGGGTTTGCTAATAATAAGCAATAAATAAGTTTCCAATTTACATAATTCAGTAGCAATTATACTGGAATTGTGAAAAATACTTTACAGTATTTATACTGTGCAACCCTTCAGAGACCTCTACCTTGTAGCTTCACCTTGCTGGCATAAAGGCTGAGAATGCAGCACAATTTGTTAATGCACAATTTGAGTTAATCGACTTCATAATATCTGGTCAACAATGGTCCTGTTATTGCTACCTTAGCTGTCTACCACAGCATATTAGAGGTAAGTTAAATAATATGAGCTTAAACTGCAAACCTTCAGCTTTAATTTGAGAGTATTTACATTTAAATCAGGTGAAAGGTGTAGGAATCACAACCATTTTCAAACATTTTCACTTATAATAAGCAGATAAATGATGTAGAGCCATTACTGCCAGTGAAGCTTGCCAACATTAGGCTGAAAAACATAAACATTATAGCAAAAACATTAGGTGTGGCCAAATCAACTATTTGGTACATTTTTAAAAAAGAAAGAATGCATTAGTTATTAATGTCAATTTGTACCCCAATGATGGGAAGAGAAGAGTATGAAGAAAGGAAGGAACCCCTCATGATCCAAAGCATACCACCTCATCTGTCTAGCATGGTGGAGGTAGTGTTATAGCATGGCCATGTATGGCTGCCAATGGAACTGGTTACTATTATTCCCTATATTGATGATGTGACTGCTGACAAAAGCAGCAGGATGAATTCTGAAGCATATAGGGCTATATCGTGTGTTTAGATTCAGCCAAATGCTTCAAAACTAATTGGACAGTTCTTTACAGTGCAGATGGTCAATGAGCATCTGTAAAACCAACAGGATGTTTTTTAAGGCAAGTGGAATGTACTGAAATGGCCAGGTCAATCACCTGACCTCAGTCCAATCAAGCATGGATTTCACTTACTGAAGGCAAAACTAAAAGTAAAACCCCTGAAGAACAAGCAGGAACTGAAGACAGCTGCAGTAAGTCACCAGGGAAAAAACCTAGAATCTGATGATGTCTATGGTTTTCAGATTCAGGCAGTCAATAATTGCAAATGATTTTCAACCAAGTAGTAAAAGTGACAATTTATTTTATGATTGTCAAACTACTTTTGGGCCCCTAAACTGGGGGTATCTATAAAAATAGTTGGAATTCCTACACTATTTACCAGATAGGAATGTAAATACCCTCAACACTAATATGCTGTAGTTGACAGCTAAAAGAACAGTAATTTTGTCAACATCCCAACTTTTACGGACCTGTCTGTATTTGTACACCCATATAGTGTATCTATTAGGTAGCTGGAGCTCATAAATTGGTAGGGGTTTCTAATAAAGTCAGTAGTGAGTGCATGTTTGACACAAACTACAGTAGATGGTCAGGATTTCCAGTATGGTTAAAAAATATGATATGAGTTTCGAGCTAAACCTTTGACATGTTAGTGATATATGGGCTGAACGTATTCTGGTGGGAACACGCCCACTCTTCCACGGCAACGGCCCCTCCAGCACTGAGCATCTGAGCAGTCCAGCAGGTCAATAACGTCACCACGCAGGAAGCGCAACTGGCTCACATGATGAGGAGTGAAGTCAAAGAGGGCATGGGCGTGGCGCGGTCTCTGGAAAACACATTACAAGGAAAAAACAATTAGCCAATGCTCCAGGCTGGCATAACGTTTACAGGAACTAGCTAGCTCTTCTTACTGCAGGGAAACAGATCATCTAGCGCTGATGGAATCTTGTTAACTACAGTTGTATGCAAAGGATTAACCCCATTAAAATCCCAGGCTTATTACATACTAAGGCTTATTGTTCTGTAATTACAGGGACTTCAATGCAAACTGGCTGAGCTATTCAGGTTACAGAACTATGGGTCTGCCAATGGGCCCTGGCCATTTAAGGAGTTAAACAACCCCAGTCAAATGATATGTTTTGGGAACATGTTCAGCAGGGAACAAACTTGAACATATTTCTGCAAATTTTAGTGCATAATTTCTATTTATTTGAATTTAACATACTTAAAAAAAACTTTTCAAATATGCCATAGCATTAGCACAGGCCACAATGTATGCTTTTATGGGTTTTTTTCCCCCAGTATTACAGCAAACAGTAAGTCTGCATTAACATTTGTTTAACATTAACATTAACATTAACAGAAGTGTGTACAGCAAAACATGTCATTTGACCAGGGGTGCCCAAACGTTTGCACACAACTAAATATCAATTTTTATTTTATTTTGTAATTGCCAACTCAGTTGAGACCTAGCAGGTCACTTTATGGATTTTGATGACAAAAATAAAGGAAAACCTCCATTTAATTCCGGCAACTGTGCACAATCTCCAAATAGTGTTCCAGGTAGTTTTTAGTTTTTTTAAATTTTCAAATTTTACAGGTTCAAAATAGCATTTAAATACTAAGTTTAACTGCTTACAGAATGACAGGAGTTTTGTACTAATAATTTCTCACAGATTGAACAGATTCATTTATATGATGTTGTACTTTTTATGTCAGAGCATAAAATCTTTCATTGTCAAAAGTTGTTTTTTTTTGTTTTTTGTAAATTTTAGATTTTAAGCAAAGTTCATACTGTAGACTAGAGACCACCCTTCATTTTTAAATTTCCAGTCAAAAAACATACAAGTACAAACTATTTATTTTTCAGCTTCAGGAAAAAATCAAAATATTTAACAGAAAAATACACAAAAGCCACAATAACTACATATAATATCACTTATGCCCACTTTCTACCTTTATTACAGTGGATTATCTTATATCTAATTGCCTCAGAAAAAAAACTGAACAACGAAAAACTTGTACCTAATGGTCATTTTGAATGAAAATTAAATAAATGAATGATGGTCTCTTATGCACAGTACTGTGTATATTTTTAAATATTATACTATGCTTTCATCAAACATTCCCACGACAGTCCCCACAATGTTAGGAAAACAAGACAATTCTGCTATTGTGGGGACATTTTCACACAAAATGCAGCCTTAATAGTTTAGAACACAATAAAAGATATTATATATTATATATTATAAAAGACAAGATTATGCATGTATGTGCATTTTCTCACAGCTAGCAATCTCTCCGGCTCTCGCAGGAAGACGGTTCTCTCTTTGGCAATGCTGTTGATTCTGTAGAAGTCCACCAGCTGATTCAGTGAGCTGAAGACTTCATCCCATATAAAGTACTGGCCTAATCCATCCTTCAACACCTTGAAGTGCTGCACGTGGTCGCCATAACTACAGAAAACATGGGCGGGGAGGGGGGGGAGTGGAGTGAGAACGCAATTTGGTTTGTCTATCAAGTGTAAAAAATGATCAAAGCTCTGGCTCAATGCACAGTTTGCTAACTTGGCTCACAGCAGTATGTCCTCGAGTACTTTGGACTCATACACACATAGTGGCTTTGATTAAATTATAAAGAACTGTTCTGAGCTTGGAAGCAGTAAATTAGAGAATTCTTCTGAAAGCAAGTCTCAACCAATCATGTCTTTATTATATGCTTACTAATGGGATGGAAATGCTACTGTCTGTTCACTTTAACAGCATTGACTAAATATGGAGAAGTAGATAAATGGAAGGTTAATACTGTTTACTTTCATTCTAAAAACACAATTCCATTAGACACTGAAGTCTATGGGTGTTTGTGTGTGTGTTTGTTTGTTTCTGTACATTTTCAGGACAAAAAAGTCCTGACATTGTAGCAAAGCCTCAACCTACAGGACCTTTTTAGTAATGTTGGACCATTCAATGGTCAGGAACCACCACAGAGCAGGTATTATTTGGGTGGTGGATCGTTGTCAGCACTGCTGTGACTGATCCACTCGTACCTGCGCAACACACACTAACACACCACCACCACGTCAGTGACACTGCAGTGCTGAGAATGATTCACCACCCAAATAATACCTGCTCTGGGGTGGTCCTGTGGGGGGTCCTGACCATTGAAGAATAGGGTGACAAAGTATGCAGAGAAACAGAAGAACTACAGTCTGTAATTGTAGAACTACAAAGTGCCCCTATATGGTCAGTGGAGCTGATAAAATGGACAATGAGTGTAGAAACAAGGAGGTGGACTTAATTGACCCCATGTCATGACATTGCATGAAAACAAACCTGTGTATGTGAGTGGCTCACATTGCATTCTATAAGATTCAGTCCTTTTCTATAGGGAACAGCACCCCTTGGTTTTCAATACCCCCATACACACACGCATTTACACATGCACACACCCTTTCCAGCGGGCTCCCTTTCATCGCCTGCCAGCCCCACCCTGCCACACCTGACAGGCAGCTTTCTCTCAGTCCCTTTCACACGCACAAACACACTTGCCCTACATACCTTGTGAGGACTAATGTTGGTTCGTTTTGATTTTTGTATTACTGCAGCTAAATAGCATGACACCTACACCTAGAGCTAAAGCTAACCTCAGTATCCATCAGGCAATCTTTGTGTTTTCTTTCTGTTTTCCAAAAATTGTGTGAAAACAGCACGTTGTTAAGGAATAAGGTCCTCACTTGTACAAAATCTTAAGCCCTATCACTGTGAGGACATTTGGTCCTCACAATGGTAGCAAAACAAGTACACACACACACACACACACACACACACACACACACACACAGTGCCATAGGGCACATTCTGCTTGCTCAGACAGAAAGAGGAACTGCCATAAAAGGAAAGTGTTCTTGAGCAAGAGAGAGAGAAGGAAAGAGAGAGAGAGAGAGAGAGAGAGAGAGAGAGAGAGAGAGAGAGAGAGAGATTATCCATATAAACACTATTTATCACAAATATATGCTCATATTTTCCAAGGTACAGTAAAAGTACAATATTTCATAGTAATAGTATAGTAATTACATAGTAATAGTACAATAGCTTGTTAATGTCCTTCACCATCAAAAGCAAAAAAGTACTCTGAGCTTATGTAAACACTGTGTGATATTATTGTGATGACCAAGTTCCACTTTCAAGACTTGTGTGACTGCAGACATGAATAACTGATCAACTGTTTGTGTCTGTAGCCAGAGCTTTTCCTAATAGGGCTCAAGTAGTAGAGCTTAATAGAGCTTTACGCAAGTAGGAATTTAGATAGGATAGTTACTCAAGTCATAATTGATTTTTATTTGAGTGAAGAAGTTTTTCCACCCCTGCAAATTTGTTATACTTGAGATTTACAGTAGTATTACTGTATTTTTACCCTTACTGTACTGTTTAGCATTTAAAATGTATGTTATACTACTGTAGTGTTTTGAATGGTTGCTACTGTATGTATAGTAAGGGGGCAGATCATGATCACGAGTATCTTTGGAGGCCCTCCAGACTCTAACAACAGCTGTAATACATTAGAAATAATTAAATAAGCAAGACCTGAAAAGTGAGATTAAGCTGTAGTTCATGTTTATGTGTATATACAATTTGAACAATGGAAATTTCTGTTTTTTGTTTTGTGAAAATAAGCAAAGTTAGCTTTGTGTCTGTAGCGTGAGTTTGTTTCCATTTGTGTAAGACAAACTTAAATTATGCCAAAAAAACAAGCTGTAATATAAAAAATATAAAAGTATCAAAGGGTTGTGTGTAAATATGTATTAGCTATTTGTTTATCAAATTTATATATCTGCAGTGGATTGGCTCAAGTATTTAAACCCACTCAGCCTTGATGGTCCCCTAAGGCCCCTGGTCGTCAGAATCCCCCTGGCACCTTGTCAGGTAAGTAATCCATTCCAGTCTATAGTCACTAAAATACTTTTGTAAGTCTGTAAAAATACGGTAAAATATATTATATTTACAGTATTTTTCTAACTTCACAACTAAAATTCTTGTAAATTCTTGTAAAAGTTTTTTACAGTGTAATTCCAACACAGGAGGTTAAATGTTATGTTTAGTTTGAGTGTTTTTATGCAGATGTTTCAGTGTCTTCACACTGAATAATTATAACCGCATAGTCTCAAACTCCATATGGTTCCGCCCCTTTGGGCTTCATAGTCTGGATGCCAGTGGGAAAGTTCTCAGAGACAGCAGCACCTGAGTCAGGCACTACAACTCAGCAAAACACACTTCCCGCTACACAGCTGACTCAACCTCTAAGAACGCCCCCACAAATTTACAATTTCCTGTAGTGGCGAGTGCAGCTGTTTTTTTGGGGGGGGTTGATGTTAATCCTTTGAACCCTTAGCTTATTAGTCAGTTATTGATCCTAAGACTTATTATTCAGTAATTTGGTAACTACAAAAACAATGAGAGTGAAGTGCGGGCACTCATATAAGCCCTTAGAGTTTAAGGCAGCCAGGCTAAGGGGGTTAACTAGGCTAAAATAGGCTGAAGGTATTCAATCAAAAGGGACAAAATGAATAGGTACTGCCTCCATTCTTTCCATTACTCAGTGTAAATTCCAGTCATTCCACACAGTAAGCTTAGTTTGACGTTTTCTTGTCATTCATCCTGGATTTCATTGACAAGTAAGTCAACATCCATGACCGAGCACGTCCACGGAGCTGAGAGGTGACTCATAAGTCTTAAAGCAATGGCTTGGCCAAACTCTTTTTACATAGTTCTCCATTTATGTCAAATGTAGTCGATCTGCCAAGACATGCTGTCTGAAGTTAGTTTCTGAACTGAAGTCAGTGGAGCTACAAGGCTAATATTTTTTAACAATCAATGGAAGATTATAATCCGTTATCTATAAAAATGCTAATATTTTTGAGGTTACAACATATTCACTGTCAGAAACCACGCAAACCAAGCAAGTCTATTTGGGATTACATAACCCAACACAGTTTGAAGCAAGTGTGTGATGCTTTAGACCCAGAGTCGAGTCTCAAGTCTCTGAGGTGCAAGTCTGAGTCTAGCCTTGAGTCTGTTGGGTGCAAGTCTGAGCTGTGAGTTAAGTCTAAAATCTCTGAGGTGCAACTCTGAGATGAGTCTCGAATCTCTGGGTTGCAAGTCATAGTGGAATCTCGAGTCACTGAGGTGCGACTCTGAGTTGAGTCTCAAGTCACTGTGAGTTTGAATCTCAAGTTTCTGAGGTGCAAGTTTGTGTTGAATCTTAAATCTCTGGGTTGCGAGTCCGAGTCGACTCTTGAGTCTGTTGCCTGTGAGTCCGAGTTGTGACTTGAGTCTCAAGTCTTTGTGGTGTGAGTCTGAGTCAAGCCTTAAGTCTGTTGCATGAGTCCGAGTTGATTCTCAAGTCTCTAAGGTTTGAGTCTGAATCAAGTCTTGAGTCTGTTGGGTATGAATCAAAGTTGAGTTTCAAGTCACTGAGGTGCAAGTTCAAGTCAAGTCTCGAGTCACTGGTGTGCGAATCTGAGTGGAGTCTGAAATCACAGAGATGGAACTCTGAGTCAAGTCTCAAGTCACTGGGGTGTGAGTTTAAGGCTCAAGTCTCTGAGGTGCAAGTCTGAGTTGAGTCTTGAGTCTGTTGGGAGCAAATTTGAGTTGAGTCTTAGATTGCAGTGCAATTCTGAGTCAAATCTCTGGGGTGCAAATACAAGTCGAGTCTCAAACCTCTGTTATGCGAGCCCGAGTTGAATCTCAAGTCTTTGGGGTGCGAGTCCAAGTTATGCGTCTGGGGTGGGAGTGCTAGTTGAGTCTCAAGTCTTTGAGGTGGAAGTCTGAGTTGAGTCAAATCATGAGTCAGGTCAACATGCGACTCAAGTGTGACTTGAGCCTGAGTCGCTGACTCAAGTCCCCATTTCTGTACAATTTGCACAAACATAACATGAGTATTAGCTTCCATTTCTTGTTAGGTACATTAGCCTAGCTGCTCCGGTGTAAAACTAAAGAAGACACTTAACATGTCTTGGCTGATCAGATACATTTAGTTGCATGCAGGTAATTGTGTAAATTAGATTTTGGGCGCTTTGCTCTGAATGTGCTTAGAAATTCTAGCGAACTCCAATATTTACATTCGCCTGCAGGAGTTTTCCGGTTCTCTAACCCTTTCATCAATGGGAGTCCCATGGATGCCCCTGAGGAACCCTGTAGCCATCTTTATTATACACACACAAATTTACTTTCTCTCTCTCTGTCTCTCTCTGTCTGACTCATTTATGAGTGTCTGACTCATTAGTGCCAGCTCACACTGCAAAACTAAGACGGCAGACAATAGTCGTTCAATGTTGAGTCAACATTGCTCAGTTGGGACCCACTGATCCAACATTAAATTAATGCTGCAGATATAAAAACTCTTTGTTTCAGGCTAGTTGCTGTTGGTCTTTTTGCGCAATCTTTATCCACAGTAAAGT